TTTTTTTTGTGCTTTTTGGCTGGGGCTGGGTTTGAACCCTTCACCTCTGGCATATGGGGCCAGCACCCTACTCCTTGAGCCACAGGTGCGACCCAATGCTTGGCTATTTTTAGATATGGGGCCTTACCCTTGCTCAGGCTGGTCTCAAATTTCTGAGCTCAGACAATTCACCCAACTCAGCTTCCCAGAGTGTTAGGGTTACAGGCATGAGCCACTGCTCCTGGCCATGTTTTTATTAATTTTTTGAGACGTGTTTCTTGACCTAGGTTTGGGGTCAATATTGTGGAGAGTGATTCATGAGCTGATGAGAAGAGCATGTATTCAGTAGTATTGGGATGGAATGTTCTGTAAATGCCTTTTGGGCCCATTTGTTCTAAAGTCATGTTTAAGTTCCAAGTTTTTTTAATTTCTGCTCAGAGGATCTGTCCAGTTCTACCAATGGAGTGTTGAAGTCCCTGGGTATTATGGTGCTGTTGTGTATCATTTTGTTTGGATAAATAAAATTTGCTTTATACATCTAGAATCACCTAAATTGAGTGCTTAAGTATTGAGGATTGATAAGTCTTCTTGTTGATTTTTCCCTTGACCAGTATATAATGCCCACCTTTATCTTTTTGTACCTTTGTTGCTTTGAAATTAATGGTGTCTGTGATGAGAACTGCAAGTCCTGCCTTCTTTTGGTTTCCCAATATAAAGAATATTGTTTTCAATCCCTTCAACCCTATGTCTGGATGTATCTTTGGGGAGTACATGTATTTCCTGAGGACAGAATATACTTGGTTTGCATTTTTTTTATCCATTGAGCCAGCCTGTGCCTCTTCAGTGGGGAATTCAAACCATTCACTTTTATCAAGAGAGTAAGTGGGGTGGATGTCTGTTTGTCCTGTTTTGTAGGACTCTATTGCTTTCTTCATAAATATCTCTGGCCATTGTGGTGTCTAAGCTTTGACCTTTAGTTTTTGGGCAATATTAAATTTGTGAAAGTCTATTGTGCTGGTCCATGTATAGATAGGTATGAGCACTTCCTTAAAGGCAGGTCTAATTCATCCTTAAAGGCAGGTCTAAAAAATTTCATCAAAGTTCACTTATCTGGAAAAGATTTAGAATCTCCATTAAATATGAAATTTAATTTTGCAGGATACAAAATCTTAGGTGGGCAGTTGTTCTGTTTCAGAAGATTGAAGATAGAGGCCCTCTGTATTCTCACTTGTAGGATTTCTGCTGAGAAGCCAGCTGTTTGGAGTAGAACATCACTTTTATTTTTGGATGACTCTTTACTTTCAGTTGTTCCTTTAAAGAATATTGATGTTAGGTTATCTCTGAGTACTTTTTAGTTGATATTACCAGATACCATGGGTTAATCAGGGTTTTTTTCCTGTTTAATTTCTACTGTATTTTGATATTTTAATTTTTATTTGGTCTGGGCAAAGTAGAGAAAGATTGCTTTTGAGATTAATATTTCCTGTATTTAAGACAAGGCACAGGTGGGTAAGAAATAATAAAGGGAATAACATTAGAAGCCTGCAAGACTGTTGAATTCAGAGCTTCCCTGCTTGGGAAGTGTGTGATGTGGGAAACACTACTTACCACTAAATATGTTTTATGACATGAAAAGTAGGATAACAATATGTCCTTTAAGGATTGTTTTATGTAAGATTATGTATATAACATAAAATTAAGTTCTTATCACATGATCATCACCATCATTAACTGAAACTACTATGACTACTGTTATTACTATTTTTGCTATTATTGTCTTCAGCTTACTTTTCTGATCCATAGGTGAATTTGAATTTAGAACATGTTATATGAGATTAGGGAAGAAACAGAGAATTCCCCACTTAAATCTTTGTGTACTTTAGATAAGTGACCTCAGCTTAGTTTTGTGCCAATCAAAGGACTTTAAATTAGCAACTAGTGCTTTGTAATACCCCCAGTGGGTTGGGAGGATTCCTTCTGGGGCTCCTTCCTTACAGCTTTGGTAGCAATTTACAAAGATGAACGCTTGAGCACCCGAGATGCTTGTGTTTGTTAGTACATGGTTAACTGCACACAGAGAAGATGTTACCTTGATAAACTATATCAAATTAATTGTTTAAAGAAATTTTTTTTAAAGTTCATAATACTGAGGTTATCTCTTTGTTATTTTAGAAATTCCCTCATACTTGCAGTACGTTCTCAGTCAGAGGATATAGTCCAATTTCTTCTTCAGCAAAGTATCAATGTCTTTTATCAAGATGTCTTTCAATTGACTGCAGAAGACTATGCCATTAATAGTGGTTATAAAGTGTAAGTGCTTACTTTAAAACATAAGTTCACACTATATTGAGGTTTAAAATAAATGTACCTATATTATCTTTCTTAAGCATCATGTGAGATTTCATAGTTTGCTTTATGGTATTTTTGAATGATAGTGAGCTAGTCTATTTCATCATCCAGAAATGAAGATCAGATTGACTAGTTAGAAGGAGTAATGGGTGCAGGATTCTTTATCTCAGGATCTTTAACCAGCTTTATCCTTAGAGCTGCCTATGCTGTTCATTTCATTCCGTGTATAACCTCTATGTGGGAGATAAAAGTAGTGTCACATCTCTGATTTTTCTAATTACTTATTTGGGTCCTAAAGTGTTCATTTCAGCAGAAAATCAATGCTGTCCCCTGGGGGCTATCTTTTATAAGCTCCTTTTTGAATTGTTCAAGATTGTAAAGGGTTCCAATGTGCAAGGCATAGATAGGGTCCTCTTTTACAAGTCAGAAGAGGAGGGAAAAGGACATTCTACTCACTCTGTGGCTTCCACTGGTAAGTGTTGCTGTGTTGTTGCTATTGAAAGTGGTCCTGCAGTGTAGTAATGACTGACTCTTGCTACCATGATGCCTTTGTGGCTGAGCCAGATCCCTCAGTGGTCATGGGGCCATACTTAGATTTGGAAGTATTTATTTATTTGTTTGTTTTTAGTCTACATGCTTATTTGCTCAGTCATTGCTCCCAAGGCACCAGCACCTTGCCCTGGTAGGGAGGCCTCCTAGGTTTAGCTGCACACAATATGAGGAAAGTTGCCCTTCTCTACATAGAACACCTTATGAGGACCCTTCAGCATAGCTTAGACTTTGCCTTCATGTTCATGGTAAATTATCCATTGAGGCCATTGTTTGTTTTTTCTCAAGTGAATATTAGTTACAATTGTTCATCATCAAAGAGGTTCAAACAATGTTGCAGGAAGAGATGCGAGTTTCTTCTTTGCTAGCAGATCTGTACCCTGCGGCCTCTTTATATCCTGTGTATCACCTTTCCTTACTAGGTAGAAGGTCCCGTATTATTATTCCCCAGAAGAGTAGTGGGAAGCAACTTGGGCCTGACCTCTCAATTGCTCTGTGTTGTTACAAATGAATATCTCTGTGCTGGGCATGGTAATCCACACCTGTAATCCTAGTACTCTGGGAGGCTGAGTAGGAGGGATTGTCTGAGCTCACTAATTCAAGATCAGCCTGAGCAAGAGCGAGACCCCCTCTCTAAAATCAGCCAGGTGGTGTGGCAGGCACCTGTAGTCCCAGCTACTCGGGTGGCTGAGACAGGATGATCACTTGAGCCCAACAGTGTGAGGTTGCTGTAAACTATGACACCACGGCACTCTACCCCAGCGACAAAGTGAGAGTCTATCAAAAAAAAAAAAAAAAAAAAATGGAGCCACTTGCATCTCCACCTCAAGTTTTAAAAATATTTCCATGTTATACCTCAGCAGGAAGCCACTCCACAGAAGTTTCTGAATCTTAAGTAGGTTAGTTGGGTCCAACAGAGCCAAGCCTCATCCTTCAAATACATATCAGTATACACAAGTCAAACAAATAGCTGTTGGTTGTAGAGCCAGGGCTTCTTTTGAGTTCAGGACACTTCCCGTTATGTCAATCAGTAGTAGTTAATTTACAGAGCTATACTGCCCTCTATTTATGGCCACTTTGCTTTTTTTAATTTTTTCATGAGAAGTTTAAAAAGAAGTTTGTGGAGCTTACAATTATGAAGTGTATGTTACAATTGAAGTTCTGATGTTACCTCTGATATTGTCTGGAATAATCTAAGAATTTCAGATATTTTTAAGTGTTTCTCATGTGAGTATTAAAATAATGATTTTATTTATTACTTTTTTGTACATAGCATTCACCAAGTACTTTCTGAATATATGCAAAAAAGTGTAAATCCAGAAAACCCTAAAAATCCTACTGAAAACATCAATCCAGGTAAGATTGCTGATAGTGAATTATTTGCAGTGGTCATACCATAGATAAAGAACTAAAAATGAGGAATTTTTTTATCACAGAAGGACAGTTAAAAAATCAATATGTAAATTGTGTAATTTTTCTTAATTTCTTTCTTGGTAGTCTACAATTCAGAATTATTTAAAAAGTTACTTGTAGGTAATTTGTAATCCCAAACATTAGTGTCTTTAAAAACACTCACTTATTTCACTGTGGTTCGAAGAAACCCTGGAAACCAGGAAGAGCATGAAGGGAAGGGCAGAGACCTACCTAATGGGTGTAGCGATCACTAGTTGGAGGACAGGCACACTGATAACCCTGACTCAAACATCACAAAATCTCTCACGTAACAAAAACATTTATACCCTCTCAATATTTTGGGAGGGAAAATAATGCCCAGGTTTGATTCTTTTTGGGTTAACCCCCTGTTTGCCATTTCTTTCATGACAATCTTTGTTATCATTTGCTTTCTTGGCTGTTTGCAGTGAAATTTTGCTTTGTGTTTCAACCTGTGAGACAATACCCATAATCTATTACTTCATATTTAATTATCTCCAATTTTTAAGGTGACTATAGTCTGCTATAATATAGCATAATAGCAGGTTCAGAGAATATATATTTAAATCAATAACTATATTTTAGAATAATTTTAGGTTCACAGAAAAATTAGAAGAAGGGAAAGAGGGTCCCCATATCTATACCCCCACACAGGCACAGCCTTCCACATTGCCAACATCCCTGCCAGAGTGGCACAGTTGCTACAGCTTATGAACCTACACTAACACATCATATAATTCAAAGTCCACGGTACACATTAGGGTTCACTCTTGGTTTCATTCATTCTATGAGGTTGGATTAATATATAATGACATGTGTCTATCATTACAGTATCACATACAGAATAGTTCCATTGTGCTAAAAGTTCTTCATAATCCACCTTCTCATCCTTCTCTCCCTTTGCAGTAATCCATGGCACCACTGGTCTTTTGCTTTCTCCTCAGTTTTGCTTTTACCAGCATAGTCATATAGTTGGACTAATACAGTGGGCATCTTTTTGAATATGTTAAATATTAAAGTTTCAAAGTAATGAATGTAGTCATTGAAGATGTTCTTTGTGCTTGCCTTAGTTTCTCTTTTTTTATTTTGTTCACTTGCATAGCACATACTTTACATGCTAAAAAAGCATAATTTCTATAGACGTTTTCCATATAACAGGGAGGGCTGAGAAAAATGGCATCATGCGTCGTGACCTACTACCCAGCACTGGCTGGACTGCATGAGATGGGTCCAGGTAGACTGAGGCAAGGGGGAGGGACAGTCAGTAGAGATTTTATTTCCACACTTGGAATTTTAGATTATGGGTCTCTCACACTTAACCTTGCAGTTGGAAATAAGACCAGACAGGGAATACTGTAGATGGACAGGTATGCTCCTCACTGGTCTCCTTCCTTGAGGGATTAGTTATCTGCTTACCCATGTTATGATGACATGACTTACACACAGTTTGATTCTCTGTCATGAGGAATATGAATGCAGCCATTCTATTTGGTTTTACATGAAGCAAAAAATAGTTTTTTCCCCACCCACCAGGGAGAGGGAGGATGGTTAGTACATGCATTTAGCCTGTGTGAATTGACAGTACTCCTGTCAGCTTGCCAACACCTTCCCAGTGTTTCCAGAGCTTATCTGAACATGAGGAATGGCTCAGACTAGATGAGCTAGCTCTTCAGGTGGTAATATTTTCAGGGGTTCTTTCTGTGGGATTTAAAATGGCAGGGGAATTTGAACCTTTTTAGCACCATAGATAGTTCAGAGACAATAGCTGGAACTAACACTGGCATCTTCTCCTGAAGAGGATCAGTGAGAGGAAGTGCACTGATCTCTTGTGAGCCCTTCTCCACTGTCAGCCACAACATCTCTGCAAAGATCCTTGCCCCTGGCCTGTTCCATATGTTTGCCCTGAAAACAGAGAGCAGGGCTTAGCTTCCTGGTGATGGGGAGTTTTGTCCTAAACTGGACACTCTGAGCTAAAGAGCTGTGGAAGCTGAGTTGTGTCACAACAACATAAGTACAGCTGCCCCCCTCATCTGAGGGGGACACATTTTAAGAACCCAGTGAATTCCTGAACCTGCAGGTATAACAAGCCCTGTTTGTACAAGGGTTTTTTTAATATACAAATATCTATGATAAAGTTTGATTTATACATTAGGCATATTAAGAGATTAACAATAACTGATACTAAAAGAGAATGATTATAACACTAAACTGTAATAAATATTATGTGAATATTGTCTCTCAAAATAGCTCATTGTGCTGTTCTCACATTACTTCTTATAATGTGAGATGACACAGGCTTCAGGATGAGATAAAGTGACAGGAAGGATATAGGCATTGCGATGCAGTGTTAGGCTACTGTTGGCCTTCTCCCTGCAGTTCACAGGAGATCATCTCCTTCATCTGCTCTAGGTCACTGAGCCATGATGATGTGAGACACAAGGGCAGACCATGTTGATGCCCAGGGGGAGTAGCACATACAGCGTGGGCGCACCTGCAAGGGGATGGTTCACATCCTAGGTGACATGAGGCCCAAGATTTTATCACACCCTTCAGAACAGTGTGGAATTTAAAACTTAGGAATTTTTTATTTCTGACATTCTCTATGTAGTAGTTTTCGTCCTTGACTGACCCTAGGTAACCAAGATCCCAGACAGCAAAACCAAAGATACTTGCTGTTTGGCCCCAAAGGGGTACTTTGTACCAAAGCCTCGGAGTCTTATTTTTTTGACAAGGTTTAGAGGATGCACAAAACCATGTATGATTTGTTTTTATGAATTAAGAAGCTATGTTGCCTAAGTTCAATCAAACTCCTGACTCTTCCAGTGATCCTCCCTTCTCATTCTCCTGAGTAGCTGGGATTAAGGCACATGCCACATGCCCCCTTAAGCTTTTAATATCCTACATTTTTCTCTTGTTGATTTAAAATGTTTTGATTTTTTTCTTTAATAGTGGGTGAGACTACTGAACACTCTGTCAACAGGTAGG